TATATATATATATAATTCACTGGCTGTCCAAACAGATTAAATCAGAGTTGTTAATAAATAACTGCATGTTTTCAGTCCTGTCTGAAGGAAGAGTTGATAGATTTTTTAATTTAGGACTGAATTGTAAACTTCTAACCTGCTGCAGGGTAACAGACAGTTTTTAGCATCTTGAACAGTCAGATGTTTTATATATAAAAACACCCTGTGACTTTGCAAGTTCCCCCACCTAGAAATCATGGAGGGGTCTGAAATTTTCACAATGTATGATTTTTTAAATAATTTATTTGTGCGTTACCGTTGCAAATAAGTATTTGAACACCTGTGAAAATCAATGTTAATATTTGGTACAGTAGCCTTTGTTTGCAGTTACAGAGGTCAAATGTTTCTTGTAGTTTGTCACCAGGTGTGCTCACACTGCAGCAGAGATTTTGGACCATTCCTCCACAGATCTTCTCTAGATCAGCCAGGTTTCTGGGCAGTCGCTGAGAAACACAGAGTTTGAGCTCCCTCCAAAGATTTTCTATTGAGTTTAGGTCTGGAGACTGGCTAGGCCACTCCAGAACCTTGATGTGCTTCTTACAGAGCCACTCCTTGGTTCTCCTGGCTGTGTGCTTCGGGTCATTGTCATGTTGGAAGAACCAGCCACGACCCATCTTCAATGCTCTGAGGGAAGGAGGTTGTTCCCCAAAATCTCACAATACACAGCCCCGGTCATCCTCTCCTTAATAGAGTGCAGTCGTCCTGTCCCATGTGCAGAAAAACACCCCCAAAGCATGATGCTTCCACCCCCATGCTTCACAGTATGGATGGTGTTTTTGGGATGGTACTCATCATTCTTCATCCTTCAAACACGGCGAGTGGAATTAAGACCAACAAGTTCTATTTTGGTCTCATCTGACCTCATAACTTTCTCCCATGACTCCTCTGGATCATCCAAATGGTCATGGGCAAACTTAAGACGGGCCTGGACGTGTGCTGATTTAATCAGGGGAACCTTCTGTGCCATGCATGATTTTAAACTATGACGTCTTAGTGTATTACCCACAGTAACCTTGGAGCCAGTGGTGCCAGCTCTCTTCAGGTCATGGACCAGCTCCTCCCGTGTAGTTCTGGGCTGATTCCTCACCTTTCTTAGGATCATTGATACGCCACGAGGTGAGATCTTACATGGAGCCCCAGTCCGAGGGAGATTGACAGTCATGTTTAGCTTCTTCCATTTTCTAATAATTGCTCCAACAGTTGATCTTTTTTCACCAAGCTGCTTGGCAATTGCCCCGTAGTCCTTTCCAGCCTTGTGGAGGTCTACAGTTTTGTCTCTGGTGTCTTTGGACAGCTCTTTGGTCTTAGCCATGTTAGTAGTTGGAGTCTTACTGATTGTGTGGGGTGGACAGGTGTCTTTATGCAGCTAACGAGCTCAAACAGGTGCTTCTAATTTAGAATAATCAGTGGAGTGGAGGTGGACGTTGTAGAGGAGGACTAACAGGTCTTTGAGGACCAGAATTGTTGCTGATTGGCAGCTGTTCAAATACTTATTTGTAGCAGTAACACACAAATAAATTATTAAAAAATCATACATTGTGATTTCCGCATTTTTTTTTTAGATTATGCCTCTCACAGTGGACTTGCACCTAAGATGAACATTTCAGACTCCTCCATGATTTCTAATTGGGAGAGCAAAGCCGCAGGGTGTTCAAATACTTTTTTCCTCACTGTATATATATGTGTGTATATATATATATATATATATATATATATATATATATATATATATATATATACATATGTGTAAGCTGAAAATTTGTATTCTAAAGGCTTAATAACCGAGTCTGATTCTAAATGAACTAGTCCACTCATTCCTCGCTCATGATTGCCCAACACCAAACAGTCGATTTATATAAATGCATTTGTGTTCCTTTTGTCTGTTTGTTAGCAAAATATTTCCTGAACTGAATGAACCTTAATGGAACTCCAAAAACACAATTGGATCTACAACTATGGCCGCTAAGGCTAAGTGACCTTCGCTAAAACCAAAAATGACCAACTCAGTCACTTTTACACACATTGAACTAGAATTTGGTGTTGCAGTAGCAGAGAGTCATCTCCAACACATACTCTGAGTGCTAATAGATTGCGTTAAGTGTCTGCGACATCAAATTTTTGTAAATATGAATGCATTTTTTGAAAGATGCCAATAATAATATATAGAAAAATAAATTTCATGCCACTGAGATGAACAGTTGTTGAGATATTCTCATATGCAGTGACAGGAAGTGATGTCAAAGGTACGATGGCTGACGACACAGTGAAGGAGAATCTGATGTTTCTTTAGATTATTTAGAGGCGCCATCAGAGGGAGACGAAGATTCAAGCTTTCAAATAAGATTCTTCCAGTAAACAGACCACCAGTGGTGGGCACAGTTCCATTAAACCTCTAATAGCGGAACTAATTTTTACTTTAGCGGATTAGCATTTTTTGCTAACTTTGGAAACCTCTAGCGGAATTAGCTTCTATTATTGCGCATGGACTTTGTTAGCTTCTATTAGGTTTCACCAATTTTAAATCCGCTTAGAAAATTCACAACTTGTTCCTGTCTGTTGTGGACGTATCTCAAATGGTCCGTTGTGCACGCTATTGGCTGACTACGTGCACACGCAACACAACGTGATTGGTCGATGCAGCTTCAACTGGAAGGAGATGAAAAGGTGACACAGACTGAGTGACTGGCGCCTTATAGGTTTAGCATAATTTTTATTTTTACCTGTTTTGCATTAGCAAAGCTAACTCTTTGGATATCTGTGACCAGGAAGTTCCCCTTTGATGTCACTTCCTGTTTCCCCTTGGCTGCGACAAGTTCAAAAGAAGCTATGCTCATTATGTGACAAAACAAGTCAAATCACGTGCATTATGACAAATTTGTGAAATATCCAGGTGTTTTCTTGCACATTGAATTTGTGGAGTATGCATATCACAGGAACTTTAAAACCGATGATGCAAGGTGGAGGGCGATATGCATTGATTTAAGAAATACTAATTTAATTTAAGCTGATTCACTTGTCAGTTTAGTTGAAGACATTCATTTCACGTTATTTCACGTTGTACTCTATTGATTGTTGTGTGGTCGAGGAAAAGCCGAGAACTCTGCGTGTGTGCTGCGATGGTTCCCACCAGTGGATGGAGCCGTCGTAGCTTTAACCAAACTCTTCAACCAGGGCTCCATATGTTTCTACATCTCCACATTCCTTCAGAATCAGGTCCAAGACTGAAACAGTTTGACACATGATGGTGCATGGACACCTCTGAGTCAATTGTTGAAGGTCAGAGGGCAGATCTTTAGTCGTGGCCTCAGGTTCGTTGGGTGTTTTGGCTACGAAGGAGTTCCTCAGCCCGATGGATTTGTTGAAGGGTTAAAGACCATGGTTTGGTCTTTATGTTAGACTTAGGCAGTCGAGTAGATTGGTCTGTGTCCTCGTCGACATTAGATTCTCAATGTGTTTGGACCTCTTCAACACATTACGCATGTTTTTCATATCAGTGGCACTCGTTATGAACCGTTTGAGACCCACTGGATTACTGTAATCTGTTTCTGTGCCGTCTGAAAACTAAACACACAAATAATTAATTAAGATTTTCATTCACAGTGATATCTGTTTGTTTTAGGAGCTGAAATGTCTCAAATATCTGCTCTCCTGCCTTTTACAGGTACTCACTGATGCATTAATCTTTTGGTTTCTCTGTAGTTTTGTTACGTTGCTAGTTGGTTCATTGTATTTAGTAGTTTTTAAAATTGTTTCTTTTTTCTTCAGGCCTTTTTTTAGTCATGTCTCCATTCAGCGCAGGATCCAGTGGTGAGTTTTACATTTAGAAAGTTTAATTTGTGTCAATGTAGTAACTGTAACTCTTCCAGCTCGGCAGTAATCTGGCTGATAAAACTACATTTTTACACAAAAGCTAAATTCATTCATGGATTTTTAAAACCTTAGCTCGCCTGATTTCAAAACTTCACAGCATCTGAGCCAAACTTTCATTACAGGAGATGTTTGTATTAACATTTAAATTTATTTCTTTATTATCTTCAGTCTCGCTGGGCAAATCACAGTTTTAATTATCTCGGTGAAGACGTTCCAGTACGTTCACCTGACAGCGCTGCTCCTCTGAAAAAGAAGCGAATCGTTCAAAAGAAGCTCGAATGGCTTCAGTAAAAGCTTTTATTTTGAAGTAATCAAATCTATCAAATGTTTCTTTTTCATGTCGATCTAGAAGTTTAGAAATGTCTGAAATATAAACTGACCTCCTCTTTTTGTTCTATCAGTTCATATATAAATATATTTTTGCCCGTGCTTTAATTAATTTCCGACTCCTCAGGTATTATGTAACAGTCGTCCCACTTATTTCAGCCGGGTCATTAATCTTGTCAGTCTGTCCCCGTGTTGTGGTTTTTAGTTTCCGTGTCTGGTTTTGTTGGGTTTATTTTGGCTTTGCCGTTCGTTTTAATGTCAGAGCTCTACTTTGGATTTAGTTTTAATTTGTCATAACTTTATATTTTATTGGTTCGCTCTCTTTTTTTTTTTGCTGCTGCTTCTTATTTTAAAATCTTAAATGTGGTTTTTTTTATTATTATTATTAGTGTCACTTGTAGCTTTTCTAAACTGCTCCTGTTCATAGTTATGGTGGGCCACAATGAGACGACCATTCGTGCTCGTGTCACCAGTGAATCTAACGTGCACATTTTTGGACTGTGGGAATAAAATTTTAGTACCAAGAGAAAAAACCCATCCTTCCATCTTCTTCCATTCATCCATGGTCAGGTCACAAAAGCAACATAGAGGAACACAGTCCCTGCAGAGACACTGTCCAGCTCCACCTGGGGGACCTTGAGGTGTTCCCAGACCAGAGAGGATGAATAAGACCTCCAGAGAGTTCTGGGGTCTCTCCCCTGTAGGAAGGTATCCTGATCAGCTGACTCCTGTTGATGCAGAGGAGCAGCAGCTCTACTCTGAGCTTCCCCCATAATGCTGGAGCTCCTCACTCCCTCTCTAAGGCTGAGCCTCCCCCCCAACACACACACACATGAAGGAAGCTCATTTCAGCTGCTTGGATCCAGGATCTGGTTCTTAGTCCTGATCCAAACCTCATGACCACAGCTGACGGTTGGAACGCAGCCAGACCATTAAAACCAGAGCTTTGCCTTTTGACTCTTTGTTCACCACAACCAACCAAAGCAACACCCTCATTACTGAGGACGAGACACACATCTCCTGCTCCATCCTACCATCACTCAGGAAAAGCCCAGATACTTGAAGTGACGCAAAGTCCACCCCTCGACGCGCACACGCACGTCTCCACGCAGGAACATCCCGGATGGGATCAAACCTGCGACTTTCTTGCTGCGTCACGTTGTAGCGTCTCTACATCCATCACTTATTTTATTCTGACTCATTTGATCAGAATATTAGTTCATCTTCTTGCTTAAGGACACTTGGGCACACTGCAGGGACTCGGGTTCCAAACCCCGATTCTACAACTGGAGGACGACCGTCCTTCTTTATGTTAAAGCTTTTTGTTTAGGCCTCGTTTTAAACTTATACAATAAAATGTTTTTTACTTCAAACGCTGTCTGAACTCTCTGGATGTGTTTGCATGTGCAGACCCAGTGAGCTGCGAGACCCGTGGAGCAGACCTGAAGCAGGATGAAGTCCTGGTTTTATGTCCTCCAGCCTGCTCAGAGTTGAAGCTGTCTGTGTTCGGGACGGGAGTCTACGCTGCCGTCTCCTCCATCTGTGGAGCCGCTCTGCACAAGTATGACTTCCTTTCTTTCGTCTGCTGAACTCGTGCATCGTGTTGCCTGAGCTGGTCAGGTGGAGCGTTAATGAAGAGTCAAGACTTCTCACATGTGACATAACTGTGAGCAGCTCGAGTCGCGCTCTCTGCTGAACTCCACCAAACATCAACAAGATTAAGGAACATGCAGGAATTCAGGATTAAGCTCTCAGCTGTTGTTGACCTCCTTCAGCTGTCTGGCCTCCAGGGCCCAGCAGGGAACAGTGAACACCCCCGCTCGCTCTGCTGCTGTCGTGGGCTTCAGCTCTGTTTTCATGTTGATCTTGCTTTGGGTTCTTTAGTTTTGAGTCAGTTATTCTCTAACTCTTTGTTTTGCGATCTACGGTGAACAGCAATAATATTTCAGGCAGATTGTTTGTAATTGATCAAAAGACGTATTGGAGACTGCAAACATGTGCAAGACGGCGCTGTGGTCAAATGAGACTAAAAATTCACTTGAAGGACAACATGTCCAGTTCAAACCCAACGCAGAGAGCATCATCCCTACAGGGAAGCACGGTGGTGGCAGCATCATGCTGTGGGGATGATTTCCATCAGCAGGAACTGGGAAACTGACAAAAGGAAATATGGAGCAAAATACAAAGAAATACTCGATGAGCACCAGAGATGCGAGACTGAGGTGGAGGTCCACCTTCCAGCAGGACAAACCCACAGCTGAAGAACGCTCCACGGGTTCACCTGGACTTTTTAGCTTTAGTTTCACACCTCAGCAGTCTCCACCTCCTTCTGGAATTGTTAAAATCTTGTCTTTCTCTTGCAACATCAGGTTCCTGTCATCGTTATTTGGGTTTGCTTCATTTTAGTCCAGTTTTGCGCTTAGTTTGTTTTTAACCCACTTCCACGAGGTTTTATTCTCCTTCAAAGTTTTGATCAGAACTTTTGTCTCCAGCTTTTAAATTTCAGTTCAGACTTTAAGGTTTGTTGTTTTTGGTCGTTCAGGGGCATCTTGAGTTCGTCGGGGGGTCCTGTGAGAGTCCACAAACGACGGGGCCGACACAACTATGTTAGCTCGTATGCTAATGGCGTCCACTCACAGGCTCTTCCTCGTTGGACCTCCTCCTTCAGCTTGTCCAGTAAGTGGAGACATTTTGTTTGTTGTTTGGTTTCATGTCTTCAAAGACACTAAAACAGCAGGTACACACACCTGTTGAGTCAGTGTTCACTGACCTTTAACCTCCTAGGACCTGGCATCCACACATGCAAGAGTTTGGGTCTTAGGAGGTTAAAGATAATCTCATTTTTTTATATAAACAGCATAAAACTTCATTTTTAGTGCTCTGCATCAGACCTGCTCCTCCTCACTGAGGTGATCCAGACTTCTGATTAGGACGCCTTCCAAGGGCTCTGAGAGGAGACCTCAGGGCAAAACCAGAACTCGGGAGAAGTTCTCAATCCTCTCGGAGCTGGAAAATCTTGGGATTCCTCAGGAGAAGCCGAAAAAGGAAGTCTGGGTTTCATCCCTGGAGCTGGTGCCTCTTTGACCTAACCATGGATGGATGTCCATCATCCTGACCGTCCTCTTCTTGTGTTAGCAGGAAGTGTTGACGCTCCTCTGGAGCTGACCCGTTTGACCAGCTCCACAGCGCTCCCTGCAGTCGTACGACCAGGTAACTGAACATTCGGCTCACAACAAGATTAAAGCAAACTAACAGTAATGATTCTCGCCATAAAGGTTCCTCTTCAAGGTCTAGGCCCATGAGGAGACAGGTAGATCTTTTAGTTTTGTGTTTTTGAATGATCCAGACAACTCTGTCTATAAGCTGCCTTCTGATTGGCTACAGCGAACTGGCCTGGTGTTTTCCATTTCAAGGAAAAAGAAACAACAAAATCAAGGAGCCTGTTAACTGACACTTCTCATCTATATGTATATCTATATATATAGTATACTATAGGAACCAGAAGTAAACCTTCAGTCTGAGTGCAGCAGTGGATTTTTTTAATGCATTAAAATAAAAAAATCCTAAAAGTTCAAACTTTGTTGTGTTGCAGGAAAGAAAGCAGCAAAGAAGCCGTTTGTGAAGTCCACGTCAGGTGGGAATAAAGGTATGACTGCAATCATATGTTCTTTTTTATTTTATTTTAACAAACTAAATGTTTTAATGTTTGCAGCAACCACCTTAGTAAAACATGTTTTTACTTTCTTGTGAAGTCAGTTTTCAGTTCTCATGAGGACAAGGAAACAGAAAAATTACTAAAACAAAAAAGTATTGTCATCAGAGGTTTTATTCCCCAGTAGTTTATGACCAGATAAATTATGAAGTGTACCGATACATCAAAAGAAAGTGGACTTAATAAAAAAGACTTATATTTATTTAATGATTTTTTGTGTGTGAGCAGACTGTCAGACGGACATCGCCCTGGTCATCGACAGCAGCAACAACATCGGGCAGCGCAGGTTCAACCTGCAGAAGAGATTTGTTGCCAAACTGGCCACCATGTTGAGAGTCGGACCAACAGGACCCCATGTGGGTCTGATTCAGGCCAGGTCAGTCATAGTTTTACTGATTAATAAATCTCAGATCAAAGCTGACAGCAGTAGGTTGGTTATCGCCAAAAGACGCTTTGATTACCAACCAACTGATGTTTTTGTGTAAAATACCACTGGCATGAAGTTACATTTGCTCCTGAAAGTAACTTTTGGATTTTTGGGATAGATTTGGGGATTTGGCTGCCGTGTTTTTGTGTTAACTTTGGCCTTCTTGCGTTGGGTTGAGACACATCCACAGACAGAAATAACCTTCATTTGATGTGGTGGTAGCTGCGAGTCGACCCCAACTCGTTCTGAGTTCCAACAGATCGCACAAGATCTGTTTTAAAGGCATCTCTGACTACGTGAACCTTAGCCTCAGTATGTTACTTCTATACTACTTCTCCATCATTTTACTGGTGCAATGCATTCTGGGTGATGAAGTAATATTCTAGTGGAAACTAAAACACAAGGAAAAAGTTACGTTATATTTTGTACCAGTCCTTGTGTTATATGTAGTTTATGGGTCAAACATGATCAACTTGTGGCTTTTAGTGTTTTAGCTCTGGAGCTAACTCTAAAGCTAACGGGCTAAAGCTGAGCGCCTCCCACGAACCTCGATTTACTTCGGCTCCAGACCCAAATAACGACAAGCTGCAGATGCTTGATGGATGGAAGTGTAAAGTGAAAACAAAGTGTCTTTAAATCTTTATCAAATAATGTTTAACGGTTCTAATCTATCAGACAATGTTTGGATCCTGGTGTTTGTGGTGAGCAGCTTCATGACCGCGGAGCTCTCTGCAGCATCACCTCTCTCTTCATCATTGCTACCTCCTCCTAAACGTCAGACAATGTCTAAAATTAATATTCAAAGCTGGATGAAGCTCGCACTGGAACAACCTGTCTACGTCTTCTACCCACAATGCACTGCAGCATTAAAAACATGGCGACATTCACAGCAACATTTATTTTTTAAAGTTCAGCCTACAGTAGTTTTTCAGCCCCGTTTTAATAGCTAAAGTCGATCAAAGAAGGTCTGTGTTTCCAACTAGTCAGAGATCTTTTAAGAGTTTAATTTCTCTTTAATTAAAGTACTAAAGTTTTTGTGTATTAGTATTTATACACATAACCAAGTTTTGTATGTATACTTGTGAGTGCAGTGACTCTCCCAGGACAGAGTTCCTGTTGACCAACTACACACAACCTAAAGAGCTGGTGTTTGCCATCCAGGAGCTGGCTTACCTGGGAGGAGACACCAATATAGGTAACACACACACACACACACACACACACAGATCTGCAAAAGAAACGACACATTACATATTGTCATTGTATAAAAAAATAAAAACTAATTATTGAAGCTTGGACCAAATATAAAATAAAAAGAACACTTTGACTTCAGTTAGAGCTCAGAGTATTTGTTGAGCATCACTCTCAGCTACTTCCACTCCAAGATTTACTTCAACATCTGTAGAAACGACTGAATTATTGCTGGTTTCATGTTGACTGAGGTCAACTGCCTGTGGCGGCCATCTTGAATCAGGCTAAGTCCAGCAGGTAATTGATTACTTTGAGTTTCATAACAATTGGTCCTGTGGTCCATGAGATATTTTGCTAACACTGGTAATTACATCATTGCCTGCTTTTCATATCAGGAGTTCCCAGATGTTTAACAGTTTACAGTCAAATATAAAATGTTCGTTTTAATAATTATGTTGGCTAAATATTAACATGTCCAGGTAAAGCCATCCTGCACACGGCGGAGAACTTCTTCACCCAGAGCCGCGGGGCGAGGCGGGGTCACCCTCGGGTGATGGTGGTGCTGATTGACGGCTGGCCGTCGGACGACGTGGAGCCGGCGGCCCTCTTGGCCCGAGAGTCCGGCATCAACGTGTTCATGGTGTCTGTGGCCAAACCAGCAGCCGACGAGCTGGGCATGGTGCGGGACAAGGACTTCCTGAAAAAGGTTTGATTTACTTTATTTAATTTGAAAAGGTACAATCCACCGGTGAGGCTCCGGTTTATTCAAACAGATAAAGACTCGTAATTCTGGAGTTTATTAAATTTTATATTAGCGTTTAGGTTTGTTTTATTCCTCAGCTCATTCGTTTAGAAATCTTATCGATTAGTTTCATGTCTCCTAAACGTCGATTTCTGAAACTCGAGACTGATTTAATTGTGACACTTTCTTCCCGTACATATTTTGGCATTTAACTTGTTCTGCATACTTTGTTCTAATGTATTCATTTGAATAATAATGAATAATATACTCATTAAAAATGTATTCATATTAAATAAAGGTTGAATGAAAATGAATGGGGAAAAAATATTAAATATTTTAGGAGATGGCAGCTGTGACGTTTAGTAATTATACTTTAATTTACAAATACTGTCTTCAAACCCTTGATAAATATTTGTTTAAATCTACTTCAGCCCACTTCTGCTTTTAATACTGCCAACAGAAAATGTAATATTACAAAACACTTCAACCACTAATGAAGCCTCTGATAATACTGACGTCTTTTACCACTAATGTAATATCTGTACAGTCAAAACTCCTGTTAATAATGCTAAAGCTAATATTACTAATAAAAATTCTAATGTCAGTTCCACTAATCCAAATTTGGTAATTTTGCTACTGCCAATTTTTTTTTACCACTAATGCTAGTAATACTAACGCTAAGGCCAATTACTAATAATTTGCTTCAATTAGCATTTGGCTAGCATTTTGCCACTTTCGATAGTGTTAAGCTAATTTTAGCTTTTAACAACTGCTCTGCCCTTTTTTGTTTTAGCTTTTTGCTGTGCTTTAACTTTACCTCTTTGGTTTAGCTTTCCTTTTTGTTTGTTTTAGGGAATTCATTCAGGACTCTACATTCTCTTTACAGTTTTGGCAGGAGGTGCATTTTATTTTTCTGTTTTCTCTGACCCAACCCTGAACGCAGCGTAATGACTGCTGTGTTTAAAGGAGCTACCGCTGACTGGAAATTTTTAAAAAGTCATAATATTCCTTTAAAAAAAGGTGATATCTTGCTTCGGTCAGACAAAAGATCAGTGTCAAACTCAGTTGCATAATGGGGCCAAAACTAAAAACTTTTTCCAGGTCATGGGCTTATTTCAGTCGATACATTAACCTGACGTCTTTACTTGGCTCCACTTTCATAAACGGGGGTTAAATTAGTCCCATTGTTAGGATTTGTGTATTTGGATTCGAGTGAGACACCTGGCAACAGGAATGGTTTAAAGACTTTATTAAATAAATACTGCTGGTGGAGGTAGAAGTCCTGGAGCGAGCCCAATCTGCAGAGATATGAGAGGTTAGTGAACTGAAGGGTTTTGAGGCCAGACTTAACAGAAGAGCATCCACTAACCTTCTTATTCAGATGAGATCTACCTGAAAGAGTTGGACAGGTTGATTTCACCGTAGCAAGCAGGATTGTTGCAGAGAGATAGTTTGGGGAGATCCAGAGGCAATATCCAGGAGCAGAGCAGAGAGTTGGTACCGAGGATGCAGAGGTCCAATATTGATTCCAAAAGGGTAATCCAAGAGATGTAGTAACTTATCCAGAAGAGTAGATCAGAGCCATTATGGGAGGAGTGAGACAATAACAGGCAAGGAGCAGGCAATTCAATAATCCAAAAAGACTGGCGTGGGGTCAAGATCAGGCAAACCAAAAGAGCTGTGACATGAACACTGGACATCAATAACCGCAAGGGATTCGATAATCTGGCAGAGTGTGGCTGTGAGCACGAGGCTTAAAGAGTGCTTGGAACAGGTGGACAGAATGAGCCTGATCGTGTGGAGGTGCAGAGGGGCGTGGCTTGAGATCAGAGCATGATGGAGGAAAACAGAGCATGACTTGGCAGAAATGTGACACCAATTTTATGTTTTTTGTTGCTTCTCCACACCAAGATCAAATATTACTGAAAAATCTAACCTTTTTTCTTGCATCAATGAGAAATCAGCATTAAATTATATATTTTTAAGCAAAATGAGAAAAAATAAACAATTTTCGTTTGAAATTATAATCTTGTGGGCCATATAAGATGTTAACATGGGCCAGATTTGGCCCGCGGGCCTTGAGTTTGACACGTGAACAGAACGTCTTCCTGTCGTCCTGCAGGCCGTGTGCAAAGATAACGGCTTCTTCAATTATTCAATCCCCAGCTGGTTCACCACCACCAAACATGTCCGACCCCTCACACAGAGACTGTGCTCACTGGACGCCCTGCTCTGCAGTAAGACACACACACACACACACACACACTGTTTCACTTTATGCATCATCTGTAGATGGTGGTACCGTCTCTGGAGCTGATTTAATTGTTTTTCTTCAAAGTTTTAACGATGTGTTTCCTGTTCTTAGTTGTGATACGTTTATGATCTACAGACCGGTCGCTCCCCGGCCTGAAGACGAAATATTCATTCAATTATTATCAAGGAACTAACTCTGCAAAAACTAAACATGTTTTGTTTGATTTATTAGGTCAACCTGCACGTTTAGTGTAAATAAAAGTAATTTTAAATGTTTTTATTTTGTTTTAGGTAAAACCTGCTACAACTCCGTGAACATCGGCTTCCTCATCGACGGTTCCTCCAGCGTCGGTTGGCAGAACTTCCAGCTGGTTCTGGACTTCCTGGCGGGAATCGCTCAGAGCTTCGACATCTCGGACGTGGGCGCTCACATCGGTCAGCTTCACAACGAGCGCACCGTCTCAGGTTCTGACCCGCTAACTGACTGATGTGTGTCGGCGCTGCAGGTGCGGTCCAGTTCACCTACGAGCAGCGGCTGGAGTTCGGCCTGTTCGATCACTCCAGCAAAGAGGACGCCGTCGGCGCCCTGAGGAGGATCTCCTACATGAGTGGAGGGACGGCCACCGGGTCAGCCATCAGCTACGCCACCCAGAACCTGTTCAGGTGACACAGCATCCACGTGTAAAGGGGAAGTTCAGTCATCTTTGAAGACATCAACAGTTATGAGTTAATCAGAGAAAAACCAAAGACTAAACAAACGATGTGCAAACGTGAGGAGGTTTAACTTCAGCTAACGTTGCGCTCTTTTAAACAGGTGCGACAGGGTTTTTAACTGAATTTACAAAATGGCGCTCATTTAGTTAGCTGTTAGCCTAGCTGTCACAGCTAATTACTACTGGACCCACTGAACGAAGAGCTGAGGACTCTTATTTTGAATTTGTCTTGTATTTGCTTTTACTTGCTGTCTGAAGCTGCAGCTTCTGTCCAGAAACCACTACATTAGTCCCTCGTTTATTGCGGGGGTTACGTTCTGGACCCCCGCAATCAGTGAAAATCCACGAAGTAGGGATGTTATATTTATTTTAGTATTTATATATACATTTAAGGCTTTATAAACCCTTTCCACATTCTTGCAATGTTCTAAACTCTTAAACCTACGTAATTTTAACATCCGTATATGTAGCTGCTAAATTTTACTCTCCAGCTCTGCATAACAGCAGCGGCTCGGTTCCGCTCGGTTCCGTTTCAGCGGACCTACCCTCATCATCATCATCATCATCATCAACTTTATTTATAAATTGCTTTAACAGCAGCCACAGCTGAAACAAAGTGCTGAACATCAGTAATAAATAATATAAAAGAAAGCATAAAAATAAAGTGACAAAGCACACAATGAATTAAAAGCTCAATTTAAAACACAATAAAACGACAAGTTAAATAGATAAAATCAATACTAATAAAAATTAAGTAAAATCAAGTCTCAGTTGGGTAGAAGGCCGATGAGTGGAAATAAGTTTTCAGACCGTTTTAAGCATGGACAGTGAAGGGTCGAATGTGCAAAGGCAGAGCGTTCTATAACTCAGGGGCGCTAACAGAGAAGCTTCTGCTTGCACTTGGGAATGACCAGAAGCAGCTGGTCAGCGGCCTGAGTGACCCAGTGGGAGTGTAGTGGTGGAGAAGCTCTGTTAAATATAGTGGAGCAAAGCTGTTTAAAACCTTAAAAACAAACAAAAGGATTTTAAAAATAAACTGCCGGTTCTGGTCGTCTCTCTGGCTCGAGGTGGTGGCAGTGGGCTCCAGAGAGAGGCCAGACCTACAGCAGCACCTCCCCGCTCTGAGGTCCTCGTGGGCCGGCTAGCAGCTCTCAGATTCACCAATGGGTCTGGTTCTGGTCCGGTTCCCGTGGGTTCCGTGCGGCTCTCTGCATCCGCTGGACGCCGAAGTCACTGTATGAATAAGGACCAAACTTTTACAGATCAGATCAAAACTTTCCCTCTAGTATTCCAGCAGAGGGCAACGAGGCTTCTGGGAAATGTAGTCGTTATGAGCTTATTGAGAGAAAACTACAAAATGGTGCCACCTGTCCGAAGTATTTTATTTTTCGTTAACTTTACTGTACAGTATCCCGTACCATCCCAGTCACGTGAGTAATATTAAAGTTGACAATCGTGTGTTGTGCACTTTTTTTCCTTACGTGTACAATTTTACTTTGAAAAACCACAAAAGAGTGAGTCCGCAAAGGTCGAACTGCAAATTAGCGAGGGACTACGGTACTCTTGAGTAGCTACAACTAAAGTCACCGTGTGTCTGATTCAAAGAGGGTATAAGTAATTATATTTTTGGTGCCACTTCCTGTGTGTCACAGTTTACAGAATAAGAGAGCACGTTCATTTTTTTTACATATCTGCACCTGAGTGTTCAGAGCTTTGTCTTCAGGTTCAAGGTTTATATTTTGTACGACATCAGCACAGTCCTGACAAAGTCAAATAATTGATTTTTAAATGTATCCTAGAGTAAAATCTACTTTTTGATGTTTGCAGACAAAGAGAACTGGGTCACAATTTCTTGATTGTGGTGACAGACGGCCAGTCGTACGACGACGTTCGGAGCCCAGCGATGGCGGCGCAGTCACAAGGTGTGTTAAACTACGCATGCTTTTATTCTGAAGGAGTGTGCAAGCCGCAGTGGATTTTCTTCACTTGAACCTGCTGCTCATTTTTAACCTGTTTCTGTTATCCACCGATCACCAGGTGTCACCATCTTCTCAGTGGGCGTGGCCTGGGCGCCCATGGGCGACCTGAAGACGATGTCATCGGAGCCAAAGGACGAGCACACCTTCTTCACCAGAGAGTTCACGGGGCTGACGGAGTTCATCCAGCCGCTGGTCCGAGGGATCTGCCGAGACTTCACCGAGAACAACTGAGACTCAAACGGGCGAGTTTCTTAAACGTTAGAGCTTTTGTTTACAACATATTCAGCTCAAAATACACTTCGTTTGAAAAAGATAAAACTGTATGAACGTTTTGTAAAAGTACAACTTCAGCTCATTCTGTGGCTCGTGAACATAATGGACGTTTGTGTTTTTAAATGACTCAAGTGGAAGAAAACCAAAGATCTTAAGCTACATTTTTTATTTTTAGCCTTTTTGTTGCATCAAAGCGGCGTGAATGTTTTAAAACCAACTTTAAAACATTTTTCTAAAGTTTAAAGCATCTGACGACTAAAATAAATGTTTTTCTTTAAATCACAAAATTTAAGTTCCTCTTTAACGTGTTTATTATTATTCTATAATAATCCTAATTTAAAATACATTAAAAAAAAAAAACTTTTTTTTTTTGCATTTTTTTGGCAAACGTGTAAAAAGCCCAGCTGTAAAATATAATTTTAATTGAATTAAGAATAAAAGGATTTCTTCTATATGAAAACACAAATGATATATTTTGTGAATTAAATCCAGATTAAGTAAATCTGGAAATATTCTGGATTTTTTGTTTCAACTGTTCAAAAGTAATTTGTTTAAAAAATAACTTGATTGCTGCACTTAATTTAAAATATTAAATGTTTTTGCTGAGATAGATTTTAACTTTAGTGAAGTAGCAAAAGGTGACGTCATTGTACCAACTTCTCTTTGTATAATTTTACGTTTAATCGTGATTTTAACATTTTATTTTGTTTTTCCTTTCAGTTTCCACATCAATAAGAGTTACTGATTACTAGTGTTTGACAAAAATTGTATTTAACACCTGAATATTTTTTTAATCAAAGAAGAAACATCTGACCGTTCTCTAGTAATATTCATTTATTAATTTGTTCATATGTAACATCATGACAGCGACTCAAATATTTGTATTTTTTAGCTTTAATTTACACGTCCCAGGCTTTAACTTTGTAAAACAGCAGATATTTTTATTTATAGTTTTGTGTCTCAATAAAAAAGAAGTTGCTTGTAAACCATTTTTGCCAATTTGTGTTAGTAAAAACTGCAGCTCCATCTGGTGGATGACAGACGATCAGAATTAACCTGGACCTTTATCTCATTAAGATAAAACGAGAAGTGAGCGCAGCTGAATTACCGTTTTTAAGGAATTTATTGGGTTTAATTTAGAGAGAAGACCACAGTGAGGTGGTTTCTGAGGCGATGATAAAACCTACAGAAACAACAGAAGTCTTGTCGTATTTTCTAAGTTCTGGTTCCGTCCACCATCTTTGGCTTCAGAGAACGTCAGAAATGTGCAGTACGTTCGACTGAAACCAAAGATTTTAAATTTTTTATTTTTCTGTCAATTATTGAGAAATTTTAATGTCAAATGTGTAACTTTACCACAGTTTACACAGAGAAGCTGTTTTACTTTGTGAATATATTAAATTATTTGCTGTTTCTCCTCCTTTTTTCACCCATATTGACTTTAAAAACAACTGTCTATACTTTCCTGTCTACTCCTCCCCCAGAAAATTTTGAATAAAGTCTATGCCATTTCCTGCATTCTGGTGTATTTTAACAGGTTGTTAAACATCTAGTTTTACCTACACAAGTAAACACTTGATTCAATAACTATTATAGAATTAATGGCACAACAAGACCTGCCTGACCAACAGTTCTCCTTGTGTGAATAGAGCACGCTCCACTTCTCTCATGAATCCTAGTCACACAGTGACACAGTGTAGCCTAACTTAAGCTTTAGGGGGGGAAATCACTAGCCAATATGAAACAATAATAATAATAATCACTCGTCCTTACTAATGGCTTAGCATAAAGCAATATGATTATTATCCATCGTTTATTAGTAGCTTAAAATACCTCATTAAAACTCCAGTAGTGGGCTAGGTCAGTTGTAGAGTCAAGAGACAAACTTGTAGCATTAACACCGTGTGAACAACATTCAGGAATTGTTTCTATAAGAACATTATCAAATATTTTACGTGAATGGTAAGATCGCTCCACCCACGAGGAAATGCAACCCAGGTGGACTAACCTCAGACAAACTAACAACATGGCTGTAATGATGGAAATAGCGAAGATCACTGATGTTGATCTTGGTGTGAGTGACGAGGATATTTATAAGCTTCTAAGATTCAGGCTGAAATGTTCTGCTCTGGTGGTTCAACCGGGTAGACTGCTTCCTTTAGATCTGGGCTTTGTGGGTTCAAATCCTACCATTGAACATTTTTCAGGTTAAAAACGGCAAAACTGAAAAGATAAATGCGCCCGGAGAACTGTTCTGTGTGTGAAAGGAGCTGGTGGTTCAGTGTGGTAGACATCTTCCTTCAGATCTGAGCTTTGTGGGTTCAAATCTTACCACTGAACATTTTTTGGGTCGAAAATGGCAAAAGTGAAAGATAAATGCGCCCGGAGAACTGTTCTGAATGTGAAATGAGCTGGTGGGTCAGTGTGGTAGGCAGCTGCCTTAAGATCTGAGCTTTGTGGGTTCACATCTTACCACCGAAACACTTTTAGAGTCAGAACTGCAAAAGTGAAAGATAAATGCGCCCGAAGAAATGCTCCAAGTGTGAAAGGTGCTGGTGGTGTAATGGGTCTGCTCACGTTCATATGGCACTCTGTGCGCAGTAACTGGTTCAAGACCCGCTGCCGGTACCTGGATCAAGTCAAACGTTCCCACAGTAGTGGGTCGGGGAGGAGGCCGTGTCTCCTCCCTGAAAAATTCAGATCTGAAAACAGAGGGTTATGGAACCTGAAAATACATTTTGAAAGGTTTTTAATGTAGTTTTAGTAACGTAAGGGACAATATATTACTAAAGTTACATATACTTACAATTACTTTTAATTTGACCACTAAGCATATTATGTAATTGTGACAGGTAATGGAGGATTTAGCCTACATGCCATCACCTTCATACATTATTTTCAGTTCAACACTGTTGTATCTTGAAATGAAACGGATTAACAGATTAGTACTCCACCCTCTGCCATTCAACTATGCTGGACTTGATCCTCTGACCCCGGTCAAGTGCAGCAATTTTTTTTACCCTTCAGTCCTGAGCTGAACTTTACGAGTCTTGATAAAAACTTGCAAGAGGTTGAAAATGATGGGAAAATAAATTATACTACATAAAATAAATAAATAAGAGTGGCAGACTGTACAAGTACACCATTTAATAGTTATTATAGACATTTTATGTACATTTCAACAACAGCTGTATTCTTTGTGGTACAGTCTTTAAAATTTTCTGAGTTTATAAAAAATAAGACTAACAAAAATCTAAACTTGCAAATTTGACAGAACATTTTTTTTGTTGTTTTTTTAATGGGAAGACTAGAAAAAATACTCTTATTGGATTAATCATGCAGTACACGAACAGAAGTGCTGTAGAATTAAAAAAATAAAAATTAATCGTCAGTGATGCTGAAAATGAAACGTTTTTGTTCGGATACAGAAATCTAGCAGAAGACACTCGAGTTGCAAACCGTTCAAGCAACAACAAAAATAAAAACGAACATTCAAAATAAAACTGTGGGTCAAACCAAAACGAAGAGGCTGTTTTCCTCGTGAGATAATGGACTCCCGGAGCTCAAGCGTGTCACTTCTTGATACAAAAACACGTCTGTGTGAGGTCAAAAACCAAACTCCTGCTGCATAAGGAGGAGTCGAAAGGCATGAGAGCGACAAAGAGGACGCGCAGCAGGTACAAGCTCCTCTTCGAGCCTCGGACCTGAAACCTGCTGCCGTCATCAGGAACCAGACTCCATGTTTCCTTCTGAGCCAGAAACGACTCGGAGCCATGTTGGATTTTGTAACACGTGGTTACACTTTTAAAACAACTTAAAGCCATTTCGAAGTGGGGTTTGTGGATAGTTATGAATAATCAGTATCTTACCTGTTGCAGATACCTCTTTAAATGACTTCAGTTGGAAAAAGGGTTTAATTCTGACAGTACCGACGAGCTAACGGCTACTCTGAACACGTCCTAAAACTCTCAAACTGCAAAAAAAAGTCACGATTCTTTAAAACACCAACTTACACACAGTTACGCCACCGTCAGTTTCACATTACATTGTTGATTTATGAAAACTCTGTAGTACATACAGGTGCTGATAGCAGCGGCGGCTAGCTGTAGCACTTCCTGCAGGAATAAACATTATAACGTAAACGGAAACAAAATGGTTCAAATGGAAACTTTTGCATCTTTTTTCTATAAAGCAGCCGTTTTAAGGCGCCGAGTTCAGACTAGCCGTTAGCTCATCCTTCCTGTCAGAATTAAAGTCATTCAGAAAGTTTTTACAACAGCTGGGATATTAATGTTTACACTGAACCACACTTCAAAATGTTCAAAATATCCCTTTAAAAAGAAAAGACGCACCAGTTTGTGTAGTTACTGTATACGGTTTAGTGCGGTGATGTAAAAACACGAAAACCTTCATGTTTTTTACTTTTAGAAATGTTCATTATTTTAATAATGTTTGAATTTGATGATTTGAAAATAATTACAAATTAAAATGATTATTAACTCATTTGAATGTAACGTTTACTTCTAATTAATCATTTTTGACTTTGTGGTCTTTGTGACGTAGCCAGGCTGAGCCAACACATCTGTTGTAATTTTTATTTTTGTTAAACATAATTTAATCCAATTATTCTGAAACGTAGATTTGAACACTTTTGTTTGTATAAAATGTATCGTGAACTTTTAAACAAATATAGAACATGAATAAAAACAACAAGACGTTCAGTTTGTTTCTCTGAGCGTCAGCAGCAGCTCCACTCCACGTTTTTTTTTTTTTTAAATCTTTACATCAGAGCAGAAAAGAGTCGGTGTGTGGCGATAAACAGAAGATGTGTGAGCGTTGTGATGGAAACCGCCGAGATCCACCAGGTTCTTCCTCATTCCCGGTAAGAAGGATTTTTATAAAAACGAGTTATAAAAACTAGATTTATTCCACACAAACAAAAAATAAGAAACTAAAGCCGAGCTATAAACGCCTGACTCTTCCCCTCGTTACATAACGAGGAGCTCTGATTGGCCAACGTCCAATCAGCTTAAATCTCACCAGAAATACAGAATCTGACTTTTTTTAAATAAAGAGTTAAAACCTCAGATATTCAGCTGAATCCAGACGGTTATTTCTACGGGGTTAAAGGAAAAGTCCCCCTCAGGTATTAAAACATTCAGATGGACCAGGGTTCGGATGAGAAGCAGCTCTTTGAGTGTTTCCCTAAATGATTCAAAATCTTCTTCAGCACTTTGAACTAAAAACATTTGATAAAAACAGATTTGAGTTCAGTCAGAGTACAGCTGCTGTCTGTGTGCGATGAAAGAGACGAACTGTGGATAAATTATTTGAACCCCTCCGGCTCAATGAAACGAGGCTTCACTTCCTGTGAAAAGTGATTCAGTCAAAAGCTGAACGCTTCAGTACGGACAATTTGTTGATTATTTTACAAAGACGTGTTTTAATAGCACGGATAGATTTAGACTGTTTAAGGGGAACAAACAGCAGCTGGGTAGTTTGGTTTGGTTGTGTTCACAACTCTGAACATGATGCTCAGAAAACAAGGAGCTCTGAGAGAGAAGGTCACAGACGTCCAGGTTAAAGCTGAAACAGCGTCATGTTCCTCTGAACACAGCTGACAAGATTAATAAACAGTAGAAGGCTCATGGAGCTGGAGACAACTGCTCAAAATGTGGACGCAACCGGAAATGCAACCCCAGGTGGATCAGACGAATGGTATGAACGGTAGGACAAGAAGCGAGGTCAAGCTGCGTCACGTTCTGGTCAGTTAAAGACGACCCAGGAGGCTCTGCTGGAACACACCCCAAAAACCAGAGATGAGGTCACTAAACACAAAAACCAAGGATTGTGGGACTGACGTGACAAAACTGGAGCCGTTTGGCTCATTTTATTAATGTTGATGTGAACGGGTCTGAATAGATGCATCCATGCCTGAGTGTTTCTGCTTAACTGGCTTAGTTGTTTCATCAAAACTAAACCCTGTAAAAACACAATTAAAGTCTATTTAAGGTGGGGTTTGTGTAAAAGTAAAGACTATCTTACCTGCTGTAGATGGAGCTTTAGTTCAACAGTTTAAATCTGGAAAGGCTGATTGTTCACAACTGTTTTTGTGTTACAAACTTTAATGCCGCTGTCAGTTTCCCAGAACACTGTTGTTTCCCAGCGTAAGTAGCAGCAGCTAGCTGTAGCACTTCTGCTTGAAATAACTAATGTGGGATATAATGAAGTGCAACGAGCGTTCATAGGAACCGAGATAAGACTTTCGGGGCTGCTTTCAGGCAGCAGTCAGTCGATTCAGACCACTGAGGCTGCTGAAGCGTCAAAACTTCCCCGAAATTTATACAAAAACTATGATTTAACGTTTTACGCCTCAGATTTTACTTTAGAGTTTCTTTAGCAGAGCTTTTATAAAATGTGCTACAGCTAGCTGCTGTAAACATGAGTTCAAGGATGATGAAAACTGTGAGGAACGGAGGGCGATGCAAATGTTTATAAAATAAAGTTAGCATAAATTGCTATAAGTGTTAAAGACGGGAGGTTTTTATTTAACACCAGAGCGACCTACTTTGGTCTCGGCTGCGTTCAGACTAGCCGTTAGCTCATCAATATGGTCAGAATTAACCCATTTCTCCGAGCTGAGGTGTTCAAAGAGCTATCCACAAGAGGTGACATAGAACTCCACTTTAAAATGGTTGAACTGTTCCTTTTCAGTCCATGCAGTGAATTTAAACTCAGCTAAAGTCAAATCAAGACTCGGTTAAACTTTTTAAAACCTAAAGTCTGAATTAACGTCGTTTTGAAGAGATAAAAACAAGAGGCGAGTTCTGTCCGCTTCAACCTCACCGGTTTTAATCATCACCTGGACAGACGGGCGATCGTGTAATTATGTGTTCCTGTGATTGTTAGCAAAATATCTCATGCACAAGTGGTCAGAATCACTGAATGCACGTCTACGACTGTAGCCAACTTGATTCAAGATGGCCGCCACAACTAAACCAACATTGGAAAATGCTAATTTTTTTTTTTTTTAAAGCTGAAATTCAGTCATTTTTACAGATACTGAGCTAGAATTTGGGGCGGTAGTAGCTGAGAGTCACCTACACACATCCTCTGAGCGCTAAAGGATCACGAGAGATCTTTATTTAAAACTTTGGCACCGAAGGCGGCGAGCGATATGCTCGTTTAATTTTCTGAACTTATTTCTGTAGTTTTCCTTCAGTCACGCAGAAAGAACAGACAAAGACGTTCAAACTGACCCGTTTGGACTCTGTCTTTACAGCGAGGCGTTAGTTTTTGTTCTAACAAAAACAGACGCGCTGCAAACTGCGTGTTCGGCTGCAGAAACCCAGTTTTTACTTGAACTGTGTGAACCTGAGAACAGCAGCCTTTTCCAGCAGAATGCACTAAATGACTGATGAAAACGTGCATCAACCGAACCGCCTCGACCGGTATAAAAAACATTTAGTCCAACGAGCGGCTGCGTATTAGAGTCATCGGTTAGTTTTAAACTCGGCGCTGAATAAAACGTTGTAGTGAAAAGCAGCTCCTGAAGCAGCACGTCTGAAACGATTAACGAGGTGAGCTGTAGTGAAATGTGCGTCAATGGAAAACTAGCGACCGGGGCAGATTTCGGGGGAGTTTTTCTTTAAGCTGCGTGAATTCTCTCGTCTGGATCAGAAGATTGCACTACCGTTGACTCGGACGCGGTGGGAGGCAGGCAAACTAGAGTTTGGACAGTGCAGCCTTCACAGCTGCAGCTTCAGTCAGCAACGTTCGCCGCCTGCTCACATGTTTTCAGTCTTCTGACAGACTCCTCCCCCTCCAGTCTTTTGTGTTGAACTGGACAGACCCGAGTCCTGCCTGCGTGTGACCGGACCGGCCCGTTTTGCAGCTCCGTCTCTCGGCCTGCAGTCGTCTGCTTCCTTTCCCCCCTCCTCTACACGTAGACCCGGGCGAGGGCGTCGGCCCCAGCTGAGGCGATGTACGCCTTGGAGGGGTGGAAGGTCACGTCGTAGATGGCCTCCTCGCTCTTCTTACGATGAGCCGTTATCTCCTGGACGCACGTCTTACTGTCCAGGTTCCACAGGCGCAGAGAGCAGTCGTGACCTGAGGAGGAAGACGAGGAGAACGTCAGCGACCCAACGGAAGTCCCACCCCGCCTTCAAGACTTAAAGAAAACTGGTCCGGTCTTTACTAGGTTCTGAATTCGTCTGACCTCAAGTAAACAAAAACATACAACAGATTCCCCCGTGTCGTTATTTACTAAACAAAAACAACAAACTGGTTCCAGTGCTGCAACAGGAACTCGGAGGTTAACACAGACTAACCCACATCAGAACCACCTCTGATCTGGACCATGCAGGTGTGGGTTAACAACGTCAAGGTGGAAAGACATTAGCAATGACCTCAGAGATGCAGCTGTTGCTGCTCATCTGTCTGTGAAGGGTCAAAGGTCATGTCCATCATTCTACAGAGAAATATTCACAAGGAGAAAACATTTCAGACAGCTGATAGTCTTCACAGCAGATTCACCCTGAAGGTCAGACCGTGCAGTGAGCTCCAGCTGAGACTCTGCAGGCCTCAGTCAGCAGGTCAAAGGTCATGACTCTTCTTTCAGAAAACAACATGGCAGCACGACTTGGGTTTGAAAAGTTTCATCTGAAGGAGCCAGAAGACCTCCAGACCAGAGGACAGATGTTTTCCCAGAATGCACTGCAGCAAACAAAATTGTTTTTGCCCTTCTGCTGTTAAAAAAAATAAATCTATGATAATTTTAAAGACATGAGACTTACTGCCAGAAATCAGGTAGATGCCGTTTGGATCTACAGCCAGACTGGTTACTGCGTCCAGGTGAGCCACCATGGCGTGGATCACTTTACCTGCAGGGGGAGGAAGAAACGCTTGAAACGGTGGGTCAGAACCAATAAAGTGGAGTGATGAACGGACCCAGCCCCCCACTGACCTGACTTGTTGTCGAAGAATTTGATTTGTCGATCCTCGTGAGCAGTGATGGTGACGGGCAGGGTGGGATGACTCACCACTTTGTTGATATGATTCAAACCCGGGACAGCTGAGCGAGAAGAACAGAAAACGACCGATTCACGCCCTGAAACATGGTCAGGTCATCAGTTTGAACTCTTGAGATCTGTGTTTGAGCTCTTACTGCTGTCGCCTTGTCCCTTCAGCACCAGGGCAATCTGGGAGGTCTCCAGGTCGTAGACCACCACGTCTCCGGTGTTGAAGGACACCACCATGTGGGCCGGGTCACAGCCGTTAAAATCCACTGACGTGGGGACGCCGTGCTCTGCAGGAGGACACGTGGGGTAAAAATAAATACATTTAAATTAACAAGGGAAAAAAAATCTAATTCTTCATAATTATATGAATTTATGAGTGAAATTAGGATTTTATGAGTAAAAATTAGGACATGAAAACTTCCAGGATTAAAGAAGGTCCAAACATTTTCTATTTTAAAAATAATACGAGCTAAAGATGCTTCAAAAGTATTTATAAAGAAAAATGTGAGTTAATGTAAATATATGTACATGGATATATTGATGCAGATATGTTTGTGTACAAATACAATACATCTGTGTATTTTATCCTGCATGACGCTAAAAACAGCTGAAGAATCACAACTATTTTGTTATAGTCTGGCGACAATGGACAGTAATTATTTTGTATTCTACCAAGACAAATGTAGTATTTGAAAGTTCTGTTTATGAAAATGTATTTTAATTTAAATTTTTATAATTCAAAATAAACTGATCGAGCTTTTGCAGTTGTTGCTTTAAATCTGTGGAAAAGTTTACGTCTTCATATTCAGACCACTGAGACTGTCGAGGCTTCAAATCTTTTTTAGCCTGTGGCTTTTGATTCAGGCGGTCCTGAGGTCCAGTCCGAGCTGATATGCTGCGTGTCTGGATTTTATTTGAGCTTTAGTCTTACCTTTGTTTGACTGAGTTGTAAAAAACGTGGCCAGCTTTTGTTATTTTTGTGCTACAGAAAAAAAAACTGACGCCGACTTTGGTCAAACAAAAAACAAATCTCCAGAAAAACCCCTCAGATTGGTGAATTATAAATTTGCTAAAATAAAAAAGGTTTTCTTTCTCCATCTCCATCTTTCACCGCTCATTCATGTCGCTAAAGCAAATTCACAAAAAGGACGTGTCGTTATTCTGAAAGATGCAAGTGGTACGTTTCTGGGGAAAACTCACAAATTTATATTTATATAAAAAAAAGTGGTGGTTTGAATGCAGTGATGTGGTTCAAAATCTGAAGTGGAAAAATAAACGGGTTCTTTAAGGGTTCTGAAGCTGACCAGTTACAAACTGGCTTTGACGGCGCTCCGTTCTCCATCCTCACCCTCGTTTGTGTTGAAAGTGCTGATGCAGGGTTCTTTCTCCATCGGGTTCCACAGTTTCACCGTTCCGTCAGCGGAGCAGGACAGGAGGCGGTTCTTGATGCCGCTGTAAGCCAATCCCCACACGGCGTCCGTATGCCCCGCCCACGAACCCGCCAGGACGCTGGAGTCTGATCAACACAAGAGAAAAACGAGCAGAGGGGTTGATTTTATTAAACGGGACAGATTCTTTAGCCCAACAAATCATGGTTGTCACGAGGTTCTTTAGGTTCTAGAACTGATAAGATTTCAACATGAGCTGATAAACACTGAGACGCTGATCTGACAATCCTAAATGATTATTTTTTGGTTCACAGCACCATCGTCTGGCGACATTTGACAAATCTGCCGAGTCAGTGAACACACCTTCACTAAGAGCTAGTTGGTGAAGTAACGTTCATGTAGATGTTTGTTTACTGACTGAAGACTTAAGTTTGTGATCTGTAAAGTGTTTTAAAATAAAGTCAGACAAACAAAAGGTGATCTTTTACTGAAGATCTGTGCAAAACACATTATACTACTTGAACGCCAGCATTTAACTCAGAATAGCAGGACTCCTGAAACCACAGATTCAAACACCACCATGCAACTGAAAGCTGCATATTTAAATAAAATACGTTACTTCAATATAAATCCCTGGCAAACCTTCTTGAGAATGTGAGTAATGCATTCAAGTTAAAACAAACAAAAAAAAAAACATTTTCAGACATTTCGTTTATAAAAGTAAATACCGTAAGTGTCATAGGGGTCCACGTTGGAGCTGGGGATGTTCCACCACTGGATGGTGGAGTCAATGCCGCCGCTGAAACACTGCTCACCACTGGAGGTCATGGCCAACGACAAGACTGGACCACTGAAGAGAAATGTCAGATCAGAAACAAGAACTTTTCAGTTGTGTACTGATCTTTATTTTGATGGAAATGAAGCTTCAGACTGTTCAACTGTTGATCCTTTGTCTAAAACTTAAATCACAGTAAAAACCTTTCAGAATTCGTCATCAATGCTCTCCAACTAATGATGATTTAAAGTAAGATCTGTGTTTTTTTTAGAAATATTAACTCATTTGCTACAGCCCTCAAACAGAACAAACGGGGTCAATTCTGTCTGATTCCAAGTTTTATACGTACCAGTGACCCCTGAATGTGTAGATCGGTTCCACATCAAAAGAGGCACTTCTGAAAAACAGTAAGAACAGAAACCAGGTGATTATTCAGCACATTTTCACCTGGAAAAACAGCTTCTGCTAATCCGTTACTGTTGAAGCCACTGCTCCTGAAATATTAGCTTTGATAAGGTTTATAAATCAGTGTCCTGTTAGTTCAGAAGAAAACTGAAAATACTGAATTAAGAAAATGATGCAAACTACAGAAATCAATCAACTCAAGAACTGAGATCTGAATTACTTTGCTGAAAAGTGTTTGAGTAGCTGAAATTAAGTAAAAAATTTAAAAAAAGCTCAAAGTAAACCTTGCTAAAGGTAGCAAAACTGGCTAAATACAGCAAAACATCTAAAAAGGAACAGGATGACAAAAAAAAACAACAATCAGAAACCTTGTCAAAAGCGAAAAGTAGTAAAAACAATAATTAAAATCTGCAAGTAGCAAAAAGCTACCCAAATAATAAAAGTAGCAAAATGCCAGCTAAATTTAACAAAACATTAGCCTTTACCTAAAATGAGTCATTAGCAGGATTAGCATTAGCAACATTAGAAGTTACAGTGGTGGAATTAGCAATAGCATTTGCTTAACCTAAAAACCAGCAACGGTTAAATTAGCATTAGCAAAATTAGCATTACCAGTACTAGAAAAAACATTAGCAAGACTAGCTTTTGCAGTAATAGCTTAGCGATAGTACAAGTCGCAGTGGCAGATTTAGCATAAGTGTTTAAAATCCGCACTGTTAGAATTAGTATTAGCAATATTAGCATTAACAGTAGTAGAACATTAGCAAAAGTAGCATTAGAAATAACAGTCTAGCGATAAAGGTAGTAATAGTGGTAATAGCATTAGCTTTTAACAAATACAAGTGTTGGAATTAGTATTAACAATATTTCCATTAACAGTAGTACAAAAAACATTACCAAGACTAGCATTACTAGTAATAGTCTAGCAATAAATAATACAAGTCGCAGTGGAATGAACCTATATTTAACTAAAATCAGCATTGGAAGAATTAGCATTTGCAATATTAGCAATAACAGTAGTAAAAATAGCATTAGCTTTAATAGAACTAGAATTACAGTAGTCAGCATTAATTTAGGCTGCAGTAGTAGTAGCAGAATTAGCATTACCAGAATTAGCTTTAGCAACAATAATGCTAGCAGTAGCAAAATTACCACTAGCAGTTGTACGACTATCCATAACAAAACTATCATTAACAAAAAGAGTTTGCAGCAGTTTGCTAAAGCAGATTTCAAATAAAAAATTATTTGAATAATTTGGTTACAAAAGTGACATAAAACAAAAATCTCAGCACCCATCTTCTCCTTTTTTTTAAAATATTTTATTTAATATTTAAACAGGTTAGTCCCATTGAGCCACGAGGACTCATTTACAAGAGAGACCTGAAACCTCCTGATCGTTTTGATATGAAAACTGTTGAAACAGCATATGTACAGCAAGAACGAGGAAGGAGTTAGGTGCCAAAAAAAAATGCACGAAACATAAAAAAACAGTTGATTCTGGATTTACACAATTAGGATTCAAGTACAACCTCAACTTTAAATAAACGTGTGGCCTCTAATGATAAAAGTTGAGATTTAAAAATAAAGCTCAACTTAACGTACTTCTTAGCTGGGACGGTCTTGGTGAGGTTCCACAGCTTGAGGGTGTGGTCTTCAGACACCGTGACCAGACAAGGCTCGACTGGGTGGAACGCCAACGCTCGGACGCCGTCGAAGTGGCTCCGTAACGTGTACTTTGGGTTCCACGTCTTCCTGAAAGTGGACTCCTTACTGGACGACAGCTGAGGAAGAAACAGGGCGGCGTGATTACGTTCATCTGGAGTTCTGAGAGCAGATTTGTCTGCTAGTTTTCTCACATCGTAGCCAAAGTCCGCCTCGTCGTTGGTGACGGTGAGGTCGGCGAGGTCACCCAAACCCAGGACGCTTTCCAAAACATCGTCCGACCCTCCTAATAGGAAGGGCTTCCCCCTTCCAGTGGAAAACGGAAGAGGCTCTGCTGCAGAGAGAAACCTTTTTAAACATCTGCTCCATCCAGACTATCTGAAAAGTTTCACCGGTGACAGAATTATCATCTCACCCCACTCCGTCCCGTCTCCAGAGCTGCGAGCTTCACCCGCCCCCTCTCCGTCCTCTGCCGTCACCAAGAAGTCAAACTCCTTCAGAGCTTCCTCTGTGTCGGCATCATCCTCCGAAGCTAAACCTTCGTTCCCGACCTGAACGAGGAGGAGAAAAATCATTACAAGAAACAGAAAACTGATTATCGGGAAGAGGAGGGGGGTCCTAGCTTACGTTCGCTTTGTGTTTTTTAGCTCTGTGGTGTTTGTCGGCGCTGATGTCATCCATCAAGTCTCCCTCCTCGTCATCATCCTCATCGCTGTCCTCTGCGTTTTCCAGGAAGTTGAACGTCTCAAGATTGTCGTTGGAAATCCTGAACACACAACCAGAGCTGTGGTCAAACAATCTGTACATCTAAATACTCAATGTTTGTGAAAAAAAACATGTTTAAATACTTTCAACTCAACCTTTTCAGGATGAAGATCCACGTTTGTTTGGTGGTTACATTTTTTTTAATCAGTTTGGTCCAATAACAATACGGCCAGTAGAACTTAGACTTCTACTCGGTTGTGGTCAAGAAAAGTCCTATAAACACAACTGTGTGTACCTTTTGGGGTCTTTGCATCGCTCGGTCCCGTTAATCAGGTGCTGCAGGTTCTTGTTCTCAACAGAGCCGTTCTGCTCTGGACCCGACAGGCCGAGCAGAGAACGAACCCTTTGAGTCCGAACATCCAGGATCGTGTCTGTGTAGCCCACTTCCTGTAGGTACCTTTAAATAAATAAAAAAGATTGACGTCAAGAGTCAACGTATGCCACATAATTTAATCACTTCATCAAGGAGCTATTTTAACTAAATGAGTCCTGACTCAGCATTTCCTGTTTTGCTTTGAATCTAACTACTTCTGCAGACTTTCTTCTAAAGCAGACGATCATAAATCTAAATATTCAGCTCATTCAGGTGATGGGACGTTTGTACAATTTTTATACTTTAAAAGTTTAACGGAGCAAATGGCAAGAACAGGTAAATATGTTTAAGCAAGCCATTAGCTTCTTTTAGCTAGCCTTTTGCTTTTCTTAGCTAACAGTTTTGCTCTGTTGAACTTTTAGCCAGCCTTTGGCTCATTTTAGCTTTTAGCTAGTGCTCTGCTTCATTTAGTTTTGAGATCTCAGTTTCGGTTTCTTCAGCTCTTGCATTTTCACAGCAAAATGTAATTTTCCAGTTAAAATCCAGTTTTCTGGTTGGTAATGTAAAAATAATCTCACTGTCGGAGGAGCTGTCGCCCTTGCTTCCACATCAGCTGACTGTTGGCAGGAACAGCAGAGACCGCCGACTCTTTGGTGTCTAAAAAAACAAAACGAACACGCTGAGATAAAGTTAAAGCCCCACCAGCTGGAGACTAAAGCAGACGTTTAACTTACCGGACTCGAAGCTCGGCATCCTCATGTCTCCTTGGTTTAACTCTGTCCCATATTTTAACTTGTGATATTTCGCTCTGAAAACACAAAATAATTCAAAAGCATTTAATATTTAATACATTAACAGACTTAAACAAGAAAATGTGGCTGCAGACAAGATGGAAATGAAGAAATATTTAACAAGAAACATCCAACAGGAAAACCACTACAGAGAAAAAACAGCAACACCTTCAATTTATTACATTTACGTGTCAAAAACCCTCATGACGGACATGAATGTCATCTTTATTTGAAGATTTTAATGAATAAAAATAAACCCATAGGCTCAAACATATCCATAGTATCCCCTAAATCTGGTATAAGTGGTCTTGGTTTGAAAAGACCTGATCATGATCGACTGCAGCTGGTGGTTTGTCTTTGTCAGCATGAAGAGGATCAGTGTGGCAGCACAGGTTGGCTCATCTGACCCCGCAGATGGAAGGAAATGGTTTTGGATTTTTCAGGACCAACCCAGAAACCACCAAGACTTGTTCATGGTACAAAACCCCCTGAGGTGGACTCGCTGAGACTTTAAACCAAATATTAGTGAATATATCTGAGCCAGCACTAACAACAAAGCAGAACCCATCATTTGGTCACGAGCAGCTGATTTTCATTTTCTTACCTTTCCTGCTTCAAAGCGTATTCTAACATTTTAATTCTTCTAACCAGGTCGTTCTTCAGGTTCTCCTGGCCCTTCCGCTCCCCCTGCAGAAACGCTATTCTGGCCTGGAGAAACACAAAAATCACAAGTTCACACCTCGAGAGCCCGAGTTTGTTTCTGTGGACCCTCATTTATAAAACATTTAAAACGACGTGGGTGCTGAACAGAAACAGTGCATCCAGGAAGTTTTCACAGCGCTTCACTTTTTCCACATTTTATGTTGCAGCCTTATTCCAAATTGTATTAAATTAATTGCTTTCCTCATAATTCTACACATAATACCCCATTATGACAGTGTGAAAAAAGAAATTGATATTTTTACAAATTTATTCAAAATAAACAAAATTAATAAATCACATTTATGCAAGTATTCACAGCCTTTGCTCAATACTTTGTTGATCCACCTTTGGCATCAATCGCAGCCTCAAGTCTTTTTGAATATGATGCTTCAAGCTGAGCAATCTTCAGAAAGTTTGTCCCATTCTTCTTTGCAATAATTCTCAAGCTCCATCAGGTTCGTCTATACAGCCATTTTCAGATATCTCCACAGATGTTCAATTAGATTCAAGTCTGGACTGTTTGGCTTGGCCCCTCCAGGACCTTCACAGGGGGGTCCTGAAGCCACTCTTTGAGATCTTGACCATGTGCTTTGGGTCGTTGTCCTGCTGAAAAATGAACCATCACCCCAGTCTGAGGTCAAGAGCGTTCTGGAGCAGGTTTTCATCCAGGATGTCTCTGTACATTGCTGCATTCAACTGTCCCTCCATCCTGACTAGTCTGCCAGTTCCTGCTGCTGGAAAACATCCCCATAGCATGATGCTGCCACCACCCTGCTTCATTGTAGGGATGGTGTTGGCCTGGTGAGGAGCTGAGCCTGGTTTCCTCCAAACATGACATCTGGCATTAACACCAAAGAGTTCAGTCTTTGTCTCATGGGACCAGATAATTAGTTTCTCTTGGTCTGCGAGTCCTTCAGGTGCCTTTTGGTAAACTCCAGATGTGCTGCCGTGTGCCTTTTACTATGGAGTGGCTTTCTTCAGGCCACTCTACCATACAGGCTTGACTGGAGGATTGTTGCAGAGATGGTTGTCCTTCTGGAAGGTTCTCCTCTCTCCACAGAGGAACGCTGGAGCTCTGACAGAGTGACCATCAGGTTCTTGGTCACCTCCCTGACTAATGTTCTTCTCGCCTGATCGCCAAGTTTAGACGGCCGGCCAGCTCTAGGAAGAGTCCTGGTGGTTCCAAACTTCTTCCATTTACAAATGATGGAGGCCACGGCGCTCATTGAGATCTTCAAAGCAGAAGAAATATTTCCGTTTCCTTCCCCAGATTTATACGTCAACACAATCCTGTCTCAGAGGTCTACAGATGATTCCTTTGACTTCATGCTTGGTGTTTGTGCTCTGACATGCACTAACTGTGGGATCTTCTATAGACAGATGTGTGTCTTTCCAAATCAAGTCCAATCAAGTGAACTGACCACAGGTGGACTCCATTTAAGTTGTAGAAACATCTCAGGGATGATCAGTGGAAACAGAATGCATCTGAGTTCAATCTGAGCTTCATGGCAAAGGCTGTGAATACTTATGTAAATTAGTTTTCCATTTTAAATAAATTTGCAAAAACCTTAAAAAAAATCTTTTTTCACATTGTCATTAGGAAGTATTGTAGAATTTTGAGGAAAGAGATTATGTTTATACATTTTGGAAAAAGGCTGTAACTTAACAAAATGTGGAAAAAGCGCGGTGACACTTCCTGGATGCATTATGTAAACACCAAAACCGATAAACTGTAAAATTTACATTTCAGTTCAGGTGTTGTGAATCTGTTCTGTTTTAAAGGCCATTAAAAGTATTAATAAAAGGTTTCTCTGAAAGTAGTATCTCAGCGGGCTGCATCGTGCTCGATGACTACTCGGTGATCTGAGAAACATTTGCAGCAGGTTCTCTTAGTTTACTGGTCTCAGTCGAGCCGCTTTAATTTGACAACAATGTTTCTGTCACAGTAACTGCAGTTTACTTAAAGTGTAAAGTGCTCCAGCTGCACATAAACTTTATTTAAGACCCAGGTATTCAACTCATTTCAGTTAATTTATAAAATTCACAACAAAGTTGTCTCAGGGCACTGAACAGAAACATTCACATAAAAACCAATTATTAATATCAATATTCAGATGTAAAATCACAAAGATTAAATAACAATAGTTAAATTACTGGTCCTAATCTGTCTTTATTTCCAAGATGAACTCATGTAGACTGAATATAAACATGAGGGTAGCTGTGGGTACAAAGCAGGTACGATGTGGGCAAATAAATAATGTGCACGGCCATGAATAGAGTTTTGCACCGTCTTGTTCAATCCTGGTCTTTAAATGTTTCTCTGCTCCAACACATCTGGTTGATTGATTTTTTAATTAACTTTTATTTAAGCAGGCACATTTTTGGTCTCCAAGCAAGCGAGTCTTAAGAATTGATTGAAAGGCTCCAGATGGGATCAAACTTTTAGTTTTAGTGTGGTTTGTTTCGGAGAAAGACTCAGACACACAAATGCAGCATCTAGTGTTTTGGTTTGGTCTAGTAATGGACTTTTAGGACTGAAGCCCCACAACTGCTCCAATCCAGAGAAAGATGAATGAGATCAGAGCACTCGGGCCGTGGTGACGCCTCGGTACATGGATGTGTGGGTGCTGAACTCACTGGCTCAAATTTACCAGGGTGACAGATCAGACCAGGTTGTATAAGTTCATGAGTCATGAGGGCTTTTCCTGCGAACAACTGCATCATTACCACAAACTGTGTCCGAGTGAGGACCCCAGACAACACCCTGTCCTGGACACAGGACACTAAAACAGTACAGCAGAGCTGCTCAAACACCCCCACAATGAAAGAAATGTGCGAACAACTACTTTATAGAAAAGCTAAAACCGATATGTGAAAATAAAAGTCTCAGTCTTTTTGTTTCTTCACTAAGAAAAGAAGTTCTTGTACTTTTCCCAAAGTACATTTTCAAAAAAATGTAAAAAAAACTTGTAACAGTACAAACACAACTCTTTAAGCTCTGACAGAGTCAAACCTCACGTTGTGTGTGTGGTGGTTATTTTGGGCCATTCTACTTTTAGCGTTCAGCTGGAACGGGGCTGTCAGCGCAGGGCCCAGTGGGCCACGCTGCCCAATTACAGCCTCCTGTTGCCCCTTTTTATTAAAACATGGAGGCACAGAGACTCCCACCTCCAACTGACAAACACTGAGTAAACAGGAAGACATCTGACCCGACATGAACAAAACCACTTCTTTTTACGCGCTCACACTCTGGTCAGGGCCAACAGATTCAATTACAGACAAAAGCAGCTGCTAAAGAAAGTTACCAACTACTTAACAACTACTAATATTGACTGAGCATCACTTCTGTCCTCTTTTAGTTCCAATTTAAACAAAACAAGGTGAAAAATCTTAAAACGAACTCCCCAACCTTGAAGTAAATCTAGGAGCACCACTTTAGGTGATGCATTTAACAAATGAAAGACAGATGAAGATTATTGAGCATTTAAAAAATATACAACACCTTACGGAGGTGTCCTGATTAGATGGATGCTACACTGTAGCAAACAAAAACAGCTAAAGGTCAGTCATTCTTACAGAAATCAGACTAAAGTCTGGCGCAGTAGTAGCTGAGAGTTGTCCCCTTGCACAGACTACACTAAAATATTGTGTTATTTTCAAAAATTTACCAAAAAATATCTACAAATCTGTCATTTATCCACATATAGGATTAACTTTTTAATTTGGTCCTTGTGGCGGGCGATATGCATTTCTTTAGCGACTGAGTTCTCTTTGATCACTGCCGATCTTTAGAAATCAGAGCAAGAATGGCCGCTATACAACACAACGTATGTATATTTTTGGCTAAATATACACATTTTTACACAGAATGAAACAATATCATTTAACTTAAATAAACTCATGTTTAACAATTATTAAAAGAAACCTGTAAACATTTAAATAATCTATAGAAGTTTTCTTGCTTCACAACCTCAACAGTAAGCTGCTGCCTCTGTCTGATGGCAGATTATTTTAAGTGTCCAATATATCTTTAATTAAATTAAAATGTTGTATACCATTCCAAAGACATAAAAGGCAGCCATGTACAGTTGTACAATAATCTTATTAAGATTAAGACTTCTGAGAAACAAAGATTTGACTCTTATTAAATGGTGAAGAATTCATGGAGCTGATATTGAAACCACCATGGCAGTATCCTCATCTTTTATCAAAAGCTCTGTTTGTGGTTCCTGAAGAACTACACGACTGTTTATTTTACTTACAGGTGAGTGAAAGTGAAAAACTCTTGATAGTTTTGGGAGCAGTCACGGCTTTGTGACCGAGGGGCAGTTTTTACGTCAGAAAACACAAAGTGTCTTTCAGCAACACCAACGTCCCTCTTGTTTACTCCCATCGATCTCAAAATGCTTTTTAGGAGCACAAATCAAATAAAAGTAAATAAAAGGAAAGAGCTGTGTGTGTAAACAGGTGAATAAAACACTCAGTATAAAATCACTCTGTGCTTAATGTTTAAAATCCAGTAAAAATAGTGACTACTTACTACTTCTCCAAGACAATTCCTCAGTCTCAGCGGTTATTAATTAACTCTTTAAATGTCATATTTTACCACAGACTTTAAATCATTAGGAGGAAAATGGGGATAAATTTGCTTAAAAAGAGATTTGTTAGTTGTTGTTGAACCTACATCTGTGAATCAAAAGCTTGTCATATTGAACGATCTTCACAAAGTGACTGAAACCTCTCTCTTAAAGCTTTATAAACATTTGTAAGGGTGATGCACATAATACAGAAAGGCATTTCCTACACCTAAGAAGAAACTAATGACAATAAAATAAACATCGGCAGGCAAACATCTAAATTATTTGGTTAAAAACGTATAACATTTAACCTTCATGGTCCCTCCCGGGAGCTGTGACAGTCACCAGCTTTCACCCGGGGGGTGTTTCCTGTGAGTTCACAGCACCTGTTCCACAGCTGACAGCCACAATGTGTCATGTACCATTTTCCTCACAACCTGCTGATTAAAACATGACTCATATTCCACCGTTAAACTCCAGAAATCCCAACTTAATTCTCAGTCTTTCAGTTCTGACCGTTTCTTTCTGCTTCATAGTTTAAGTGAGACTTTCACACATTTCTGTTGCTGATCAATATCCCTCTCATCAAGGCAGATAAAATAAACAACTAGAAAACAATGATTTGTTGACTTGTGTCACTTTTAATAATGGGCAGTCAGCTGTAGAGCTGCCACCATTACCATGCAGTGACAAGTGGCAAACTACTTAATTTTAAATAATTGTAAATGGACTACACTTGTACAACACCGTTCTATCTAATCAAGATGCTCAGAGCTCTTTACAACACAGTCTGTGCCCTCATTTACCTCCACACACACATTCATACAGCACTCTACTAAATCTCTACAAAGATAATCTGAATGCGTAGGGACTAATCGGTGCTTCGGATCACATTCATACATCAATGGGACACATCAGAGCCAATGAGGGGTTCAGTGTCTTGCACAGGGACACTTCAACATGTGACTGCTGATGGAATCAAACCTTCAACTCTCCCATGGAATGAGGACAGCTCTAACCACTCAGCCACCGCTGCCCCAAAAGTGTTTGTTGAGATCAGAACAATTTTAAAGTTTATTTCTTTGAATCTTCTGTACCTCCAAGATGGCTGACACAGTTTAAAGACATCACATGACCTCAAATATTATTAAAACCAATTACACCAGAACACCAGCTATGGCCCACTGGTTGACTGAACCAAACATTCCTGATTTCTGTTTTAATCACGGGAGGATTGAACCGATAATTAACAACTACCAGATGTTGTTTTGATACTTAAAAAAACATCAGACACCATACACAAAATCTGCAAGTGACGCTGACAGTAACTCTTCTTCCTCCAACACCAAGTACCTGCTGGAAATCAGTGCAAGGCCTAGCCTTTAGCATCAACATTAGCAACACAGCTAACTCTGCTACTGTCACGAACCGGGAGGATTTCAATGTGTAAATATACAATCAATTATCAGCAAATACAAACTTATGTTTGCTGGTAAACAGTGCAGGTTTTTAATCTTAGTCACAAACTAATAAAACAGTTACTGCCTGACAGAGGACAGTGGATACAACAGCTAGCTGGTAATTCATCTTTGGCAGCTAAGCCTGGCTAGCGGCTAGTAAATGAGCATTTCTTACCGCGGAATAATGAAGCTTTTAGAAAATTTTAACATTAAATTTAACCGTATACGGTGTGAAGGTTTGTTTTTTAGTGTCAGGAAGGCGTTATGCGCTGCTTAACGTAGCCCTCTGGTGGTTAGTGCAAACGGCTAATCTGTAGCTAGCACAGTGAATGCTAAGCGGCTAACCTGGAGTTCGGCCCTCTCCACCTCCCAGTGAGCCCTCTCCATCTCGAACCGGGCCCACTCGTGTTGAATGTAGTGCAGGATACCAGGGATGGTGTATTGCTGCTGAGGCCGGGGCAGGTCATCGGTCTGCTGGGGCACCATGACCGCTCCAATCGGTGGATTGACGTTGCCGCTGCTCACCGGCTGTTGTAACTGCTGTCGCGGAGCAGCCGCTCCTCCTCCGCCGGGGTGTTCGTCCATGTTTAATGTTTTCGTTTGTAAAATTTATTGTCTTGCGGGGGCGAGCTTGACAAGATTCCTCCGTAGGTCCGCCGGTCTGTGGCACCGCCGCGGTGTGAGGTCAGCTGCCCCGCGGCGTCTCGGGCAGTGCGGCTGGATGTAAACGCAGTGTTTACGCGTTGATCTAACCGGCTGCCATCGCTGCTCGCTGTCGATCCCGACGGTCACGGTGGGAGAATCCCGCCGCGCTGCATGACGGGACATTCACCCAGCTTCTTTTTCACTCTGTTTCCACTTTGGATTGGAATGGATCGGAGATCGGGACAAAGGGGGGAGGAGCAAGATGGCGGGTTGAGTGGCAGTGTTTTTTT